TCCTGCTTCAGAGAAAAGTAAATAATCAACAACATTATAGTGTTGTTTGGAGAAGAAATTGGTAACCATATTTACCAAATATTTAATGTGATAGAAATTGGCAAAGGTTAGTTATTAATTTGCATTATGTAAATTATTCAGGAGAGTGTTCATTCATGTAACTAATAAATGAATTACCACTCTCCTCCGCTGATTCTTCTAGCTTTATACTGAGGCAAAGTCCAAGTATAGGAAGGAATAGGTACACAAGTCTTTGGTCTCTTTGAAAAGTTCTGAAATGTGTGTCGTATTGTGGAAATTAAACAAATATCAAGAAGCTGTTTAATTGCTACTACTTCTTCAAAAAGAAACTTTTCAATAATTGGGATTCAAGGAAATAGTTGACAAGGTAGAGAATTTCAACAGAGAATTGGAATCTATTATAAGCTCTAGATCCAAAAGATACTACTGAAATTAAGTACTCAACAGATGGTTTTAACAGCAGATTGGACAGAGCGAATCAGTAAGCTGGGAGCAAGGACAGTAGAAAAATCCAGCCTGAATCATATTCAGTAAAAAGAGCATCAGATACAGAAAAGACCAGAAAAGACATGACTCGTGTTGAAAAGGTTTCACATTTGGTATCAGAGGGGAATTGGAGGAAGAATGGCACAGATGGAATATTTGAAAAGATAGTGGCTGAGAGTTTTCCAAAATTGATAAAAGATATCAAGTCACTGACTTAAGAAGCATTATGTGCCACAAGCTGGATAAATTGAAAGAAATCCATGCCTAGCCTCATCAGAATACACCTCTGAAAATGACAGAAAAATCTTAAAAGCAGCTACAAATAAGAGACAAATTCCTTGGCTTATCAAAGAAGCAGGAATATGAATATAAGCCTATCCACAAGAAACCTATACGTAACATCAAACTTAATGGAGGGATTTTAAATGCTTTCTCCCTGACTTTGGGAACATGGCCAGATCCACCATCAGCTCTCCTTTGCATGTACAACTCTATACAGAGGTCTTAGCCCATGGAGTATGGGCAGGAGGAGAGGAGAGGGGTTAAGATTGAAAAGAAATAAATAAAACTGTATTTCATTACAGTGACCTATTTGTATGCATACAGAATCTTCAAAAATCAACAGATAATTAATTATTAGTAGTCAATTTATCCATGTTTGGCAACAAGAAGAATATATAGCAATTAGTTTTGTTTTTATATACCACTGATAGACCATTAGAAAATGAAGATGTTTAAACTATGCAATTTGCAATAAATTATTAAATATCAAATATGGATAAATAAATGAATAAGCCTCATAGACCTCTACACAAAAAGCTACAAAACAATAATTCATGAGAGAAATTAAAGGGGATCTAAATAAATGAAGGCATAGCCCATGTTTCTGGAATAAAATAGTGTTGTAAGGCATCAGTTCTCTGAGAATTTATCTATAAATCCAAAGCAATCACAGAAGTAATCCCAGCAGTGTGTGCATACGTGTGCAACTAGGTATGCTGATTCTAAAATTTATGTAGAAATACAAAGGGACACGAATTGCCATCTTGGAAAAAAAGCTAGGATACTTCAGCAACTAGATATTAAAAAGCTACAGTAATTATGACAGTACAAGTTATTGCTATAAAGATAGACAAGCAGACCAATGGGACAAAAGCCAGAAACAAATGCACATATATACTGTTAATTATGGCAGTTACTATCTCATAGTGACCCTGTATGCGGGGGAAGGGAGGCAAGCAGTTTGCAATCTGCTACGACATCATAGGTTGATGATTTGAACGCATTCAGCAGTATCACAGAAGAAAGGTCTGGTGACTTGCTTCCATAAAGATTACAGCCAAGAAAACTTTACAGAGCAGTTCTCCTCTGTAACACATGGCAGCTCTAGGAACTGGAGGCCAGCAGCTCACTACCTCAGTGCCCTAGTTTCTTCAGCTATAAAATACGCTTAATAATAAATAGCTCATGGTGTCTGCTTCAGAGGACTTAGACAACAGATACGAAAAAATTTACATAATCAAGAGGTTAGCACGTGTGCAAAGTGTATATACAGCAAATGCCCCACCAAAATTTAGCTATTGTTAATATTACTGTGAAAACACTATAGGTCATATAATCTATAATTGTGACATTGTTTTAATATGCTCTATTATATCATAATGTTATGTTGCAAAGTACTGTTGAGTCAGTTCTGACTAATTCTGACCCTATATAGGTTTTCCGAGGAGCAGCTGGTGAGTTTGAATGCCAATTTTGTGGTTAGCAGTCTAGTACTGATCCTACAGCACTACACCAGGAGTCCTTGCAATGTTATGTTGTTGTTGTTGTTAAGTAGCATTGAGTCAGTTCCGACCCATAGTGACCCTATATAGGGTTTTAAGGAGCAGCTGGTGAGCTTGAACCACCAACCTTGCAGTTCAAACGGCTTTACAGTCTGGTGCATTAACCCACAGTGCCACACCAGGACTCCATAATTTGTACTACTACTGGACTATTAACCATAAGGTCTGTGGCAAACCCACTAGCCACTCCTTGGAAACCCTATTACTCAGAACCAACTTAACGGCACTTAACAACAACTACTACTATTATTATTATTGTTACTATCACTTGTTTCTGGTTTTGAATATGGTCATCTGAGAGTGGAGGCAAACCCCAAACCAAACTCATTGCTGTCAAGTCAATTCCAACTCATAGCGATCCTATGAGACAGTAGAACTGCCCACAGGCTTTCCAAGGCTGTAATTAATCTCTGTGGAAGCAGACGGTCACATCTTTCTCCCACAGAGCAGTTGGTGGGGTTGGACCATGCACATTTTAATGAACAGTTAAGTTCTTAGTCACTGCTCCACCAGCGTTCCTTAGGGGAGGGTAGTTGGACCTTAAATCCTGGCTAGATGTTCTCTCCTACGAGGAACATTTGAAGCAATGCAGACGAGCAAGAAAGTGTCCCATCTTAGTCTTCTTGGGAAAACTAATGGTAGAAGGATGATAAACTTCATAACTCTCTCAAGATGGGCTTAGAAATGGGTCACTGACCCAACCATACCCTGTTTCCCTCATAGGTGAGGCTGTTCTAAGATTTTCTATCACTTTAAAACACTTTAGCTGATGTGGGACCCAAACCAGAGAAGCAGTGACACCAGAGATGGAGGCAGAGATGATGGCATGGAGATATTGAGCAGCTGAGGAATCTAGACTCATGGAAAGAGAAAGGCTGTGTTCTGGCTTCTAGAATACACCCTGTGATTGTTTAAATGGTTATATATCCCTGCATGGTTTTTTCATGCATGCGCTGGAGGGTCGATATGTGTTGACAAGGTTAACAGACAGGGCAGGCAATATACAACTGGAGGGAGGTTGGCAGAGGAAAGATGGGGGTGGTGGGAGACACAGAGAGGAATGCAGTGGTTAAAGTAAATAGTGGTAAATGCCGTTAACTGTTGGTGTATGGAGGGGATTACAACCATAAAATGAAGCAAACATTTGTTGAATGTGAAACTGATGGCCTCCTCTGTAAACCTTCACTCAATTCACAATAAGAAGTTTAAAAAACAAAACAAAACACTTTAGTTGACTTGCTTAGGACTGTACTCAGCAGTTCTCGGCTCAGTTTCTCATTCTACTACTGCTATTTGGATGAGTTTCAGCTCTAACAAGAGGTTAGCAATACCCACATCATAGGGAAGTGATGAGAATTAAATGAGAGAAGGAAAGTAAAACTCTCAGCATCTTGTTTTCATCATAATAAGTGTCGGTTATTTTCATTACCTAAAATCACAGTCAGGAAGTACCAGTCCAAGACCTTGGCATCTACTCTTTTTACCATGCTGCTTGTAATTTAGCAAATTAGGTGATAGGATTTGGTAGCCATTCTTTCCAACTAGGTCTAGACTTGGACAGATAATAAAAACAGCTGTCCCTCGATCCTGCCCATTGCTCTTCTGGAATTCAGTTCAGAAGCCCCAGCGAGAGGCTTCTTTCCACCCAGTGCTGGCTGTTCTCTCATGCATTTGGTGCCCGTTTCTGGACAGGCATAGGGAGAAGCCATTCTCCCGTGGCCCTGGGAGGCTGCCTGTGTGCCTGGCCTCATGGAAGTATGCCTGCTTTGCCTTCTCACTCCCTCAGTAATGTCAAGTGGATTCCAACTCACAGTGGTATTTAATTCTGCCTGCCACCTCAGTGTGTATCCTTTCTCAGAAATGAGTTCCCTTTCAAGATCTTGACCCTGCCAGCCCATAGAAGTCCAGACTTCCTTAAAGTTCATCGTCAAATGACAAGTGTTATTATTGGGTTCCTGGGTATTGCAAAAGGTTGGTAATTTAAGTCCCTTCAGACTTGGGATAAAAGGCATAGTGATCTACTTCCTAAAATCAGTCAAGGAAAGTCCTATGGCACTTAGTTCTACTCTAACACACACGGGGTCACCATGGATCAGATTGTACTTGGCAACACATGAAACCCATCAGAATTGCTCTAAAGCAAATCTTCTCCCCCTTGCTCTGAATCCCAAAGTGTCTATATTCAGTACCAGCAATTCTGATCCTCTTTAACCTTTGTTTTAGATGTGTATTTCTCTCTTCCAATTTGATTTAATATGAAAGAAACTCTTGCCTCTCCAGTAAATTGTAGTGGACAAGATTTTCCAGGATACAACTAATAGTTCCAGCTTATCTGGGGAAAAGTTCCTCCAATTTAAAATGTCTGTAGTGCCTTCCGTCCTAGAACTTCTACAAATTAAAAAAAAAAAAAATGTCTTTGAGTTATCTCCGTGAGTGGCTGTGAACCAGGGCTGTGTGAGAGATGTGCTCCCTGATTCCTGTGGGACCCTTCCTCTACCCAACTCCTTGGCTGACCCCCAGCAGAAAAGCAGACAGTACTGGGAACGTGGGTGGAGCCCCACAAATCAGGGAGAACAGGAAACTGAATTGCCAAAAGAAACTTTATCATCCTAATAAAATGATCTGCATTCCAGGTCCTTCAACTATCCTATGGGAACCCGGGCATTTTCCCATGACAGTATTTTTATCCCTGATGGGGGAGCAGAGAGTGAGCAGACAGTTCAAGCAGTGTCACAAGACAACATTCTGGGCAAAGTCAAAACTCTTCAGGTAAGAAGACAGCTTGAGAGTGGAAGGTCAGAGCCATAGGAGGGGCCCGGCTATGGAGGGAAGTGGGGGAATGCCCTCGCTTAGTCTTGAGTGAGGAGTGGGAGGTCCAGGGGTCACTCCTGGTGAGAGTTTTTGCTTTCTTGGACTTGACTCGGTGCTCTAAAAGCCTTCTGTCCATCATTGTACCCACTTGTACCACGTGTCCTCTCCTTTTCCCTCAAGTCGTTCCTTCATTTTTGACTTGTCATCATGAGAACAAGTCCCCAAGAGAAGCTGCAGGACTTGGATGGGAGGACAGAGTTGCTGACCATTAAATGCTGACATTATTCCATGAATACAGGGCTATTGACAGCAATATTCACTTTCCAAGTCTCCATAATTGGATGGTGTTTTTTCTTTACTTTTGTAAACCTGGCTTCCCCTGAGCCGCCTTGTCTTTGAAGAATACCACAGAGCTCTGAATCTCCTCCTTCTTCCCCTTGCAATGGCTAGTTTTCTTATGCAAAATGGACCCAAGTAGTAAAACTCCTTAAAATGATGATATAATAAAATAATCCTTCACTAGATGTAATTGGAATAAAGGGAATCCAAGAAAAGGAAGCAAGTCAAAGGCACTTTAGCTCATTGCTTGGTAGAATTCACTCGCTCTAGAGAAGCAAGTTAATGCACTGGACTGCAAAGTCAGTTTGGACCGCAGGTCAGCAGTTCAAGCTCATCAGCTGCTCCTTGGAAACCCTTTACAGGGTCGCTATGAGTCAGAACCAACTCGACGGCACTTAACAACAGAGAAGTGCCTAAGCAAGTACCGTCTGTATGATGGGCGTGATAGGAGGCTATCCAAATTATGAACAGAAGGCTCTGGTTTGCTGATCTCTCTGTAGAAATGTCTAAATGAATGCCAGGCAAAACAAGAAACAGTTGCCCTGCGTAACTCCTGATGTGATGAAACACTGTAATCAAAGAACATTTTCTGTTTTCTTGAAATGGTCTTGTTTCTTCTGAGCATTAGCTGTGCATTTTGTGAGCTGTGTTTGAGCGTATATTCAGCACACACTTAGCTCAATATAGCTCATGGCAAATAGAGCAATAGCCAACACCTGGGAGCCCGGCCAAAGTTTGCCTAATCTCTGTATCTACTGCCACCAGGGCCCAAGGCCAGAATCCTGTCCTCAGAGCCAACACAGGCACTTCCTTCAGATTCCAGCATTTCCTACTAGGGTTCCTTTCTTGGTTCTAGCTGTCTGTGCTGTGATACTTTTCTAGACTCAGAATTAAAAAACAAGCTATCACTCCTCATAGGTTGGAGAAGAGGGTAGGATGACCGCGGATAAAGAAAACCTCAACTACTTTCTCTTCAGAATCCTGGTGTGGCGCTGTAGGATAAACATTGGACAGCTAAACACAAGGTCGGTGGTTCAAACCCACCAGCCCTTCCTTGAAAACCCAGGGTCACTGACTTAACAGTACACAATAACAACTCTCTCCTTACCTTTCCTTCTTGAAGTCTAGATTTCTGGGAATATTATTCCCATGAAGTTCTGAACCTCCTAATACCTTCTTTCTCTGAAGAATGATGAAGAGATTCCTGCCCTGTGACACAGCTGTATTTATGAAGGTTTTTTTGGAGTTCTTTAAAACCTAGATAATAATCTGTTGTCTTCAATGAAAGCTGCTATGTAACTTCAGACCAGATGTTACTGCCACTCCAGGAAGTGGATTTGGGGCTATAAAAACATATGCAATGTTGAAAATCTAGAAACAATAAAAATATACAAGTGCCTGCTTTTTTTGTTCACAGTAAGGCATGGTTTTAAACAATCTGATCTCATAACTAATGAAGTTCCCTGAAGCAACAATTCTATTAACACAGGAAGAAAACGTGACTAAAGAAGTGAGTCTCCCATGTGAACCCTCTCACTCTGGCAATATGTATTCATGGGGGGTCGGCCTACGTTTGCATCCTACTGTGTGATTTCACAGGCTTCCTTTCAGCTCTATAGTTCTGTGTTTTAAAAAGATAAACCAAAAGGCTTTGCTTTCTGAGGAGGGAAATGGGGCCGAGTATCATAAAATATGTGATTTTTGAAGTGACCTGAGATATAACTGCATCACCCCCAAAGACTGTGCTTTATTTTTCAGTCGACTAAGCAGTATGTTCCTGGTAAGTTGTAGAAATCGTAATAAATTTATTAACTTGCATGAATGCTTTGCATTTTTCCATGACAAAGTTATGCTGGTATTGATGCTTAGGAAGCAACATAAAAGACCGCCTCCTCGTAGACTCCAGCATGGAATGAGGGAGTTTAGTTGCATCTAAGGCATGGATGTTTTTATGTCTGGAATTGTCTTTGTGTATTTGTGTATGTTTATTGAAAGAGAGAAAGAGAGAATGGATAATACCTGTTTTGACACTAACTGTTCTGGCAAGCTGATTAGTCACCATTACTAAGACATTCTTTTGAAATGAAATTTCTATTGGAATGCCATTTAAAAAAAAATTTTTTTTTAAGAGACATTTTTCCTGGTGCCATAAGAAACTTCCCAATCTGGGAAATTCACCCAAAGGCTGGTGTAATTATACAGGAGTGTGTGGAAAGGTTGCCCTCTAGTGTCCAAACATTCAATTTCACCTAAAACGTCTCTGTGACACCCAAGATTTAATGTTGTCTCAGCATAACCAAACTGGAATAAAGTGAGTTTTTCTGAATAAAGTAACTATTCCACCTGCCACTCTTTCTGTATCAAATGATCAAAGTTTTAAAATATAATATCTTTTTATTTTTGGTGAAAATATATACAGCGAAATCCATTCCCGTGCAGCTGTTTCTAGAAAGAACGGGTCAGTAGAATTGGCTACATTCTATTAGACTTTTTACGGGAAGATCACATGCTATTTTGTTTCTGAGTGTAAACATAAAACATGTTTGTGATAAAAATAGAATTTTTTATGTAGGACAATTATCCAAAAACAATTCTGGTGCCCTTTTTGAGAACTCTTTGCAAACACGTTGGAGTCCTGGTGTGGCGGTGTGGGTTAATACATCACACTGAAAAGCTATTTGAACTGCAAGGTTGGTGGTTCAAGCTCACTATCTGCCCCTGGGAAACCCTTTACAGGGTCGCTATGGGTCAGAACCGCCTCAATGGCACTTCACAACAACAACAGATGCATATACACCAGTTCCTCCATGTGTGGCCAGTGGAGAACTGTCATCTGAAACAAGGAGGGAGCACCAGACCTTGGCCACCACCTGGCCCTGTGGCCTTGGAAGGAGTCATTTAACCTCTCTGAACCTCATTTCCCCCATCTGAAAAACAAGAGAGTTACATAAAAACCATCCCAAGTGCCTCTCAAGTTCCTTAAATCACTTGTCACCTGCTGTAGCACAGAGTAAGAACCCTGGTGGTGCAACAGCTAAGTGCTAGGCTGCTAACTGCAAGGTTGGTGGTTCAAACCCACCAAGTGGTTCCATGAGAGCAAGCCCTAGTAATCTGCTCCCATTAAGAAACCCCTCTGAGGCCGTTCTCCTCTGTCACGTGGTGTTGCTATGAGTTGGCTCAGTGCTCCCAGCATCAGCGTACGCTTTGTGCTGTGTTATATTTGCAAGATCTACGTAATAATTTACCTAATTAGGTAGAACTGCCCAGAATCTGGGAGGGATCCTGTTGGTTTGAAATCGTACAAGGGAGCTTCCAAAAATGGCAATTTTTCCACGAACTTTTTGAGGCCCCCTCATACCTCATATTTGAGGCTGGGAGGTATGATAAAGCCAATAGTATAGATCTGCAGGTAGTTTTTATACCTGCCGTTGTATGCTGTTGAGTCAGCTCCAAGTCATAGCAACCTTGTATACAGTTTCCGAGGCTGTAAAGCTTTGTGGGAGTAGAAAGCCTCATCTTTCTCCTGCAGAGCGACTCGTGGGCTCGAACGACGGGCCTTGTAGTTCATAATCCAGTGCTTACCCTACAGAGCCACGGCACTCCCCATTTTTATCCTGATACCATACCTTTTGTCAGGGAATGCTTAGTCTGTATAAGCCATGGACTGTTTGGCTGAGGAAGGAAAACCTCCATCCTCAACTGGATTTTACTTAAAAATACCCAAGTCTTAAATTTGAAGATTTTGACACCAAATGCAGCTGTCAGAAACATAAAGAATAAACATCTGCTCTTAGCAATGTCTTCATAGAACAGATATCTTTAAACCAATGTGTGGGTTCTTTTTGTTTGTTTGTTAAATTTGTTAGAACTATGAATGTATCTATAGTTCGCTCAAGAAAACAGCAGCTTGATTTTTCTTGTACTCACATGGTCTTACAGACGTGGTCTGAAGAATGGCTGTTAAGAATCTGGGAGAAAGCAAATGCTGGCAGCATGAGAACTGTCGAACATGATATGCTTGGAATCTCCACACCAGTCTCATAAATATGGATGCACATTCTTATAACATCATTCTCCGGCATTCCATATTACAGCAAAATGGCCCAATTTCAATGAATAAAATATAGTCCCTTTTAGCCCACATTCCAATCTCAACAGTAACCCCATTCATAGTCCCAAGCCACGTGAACTCTCAGGCTTGGATAGGCACAAGTCTCCACTGTCCCGTCTATCACTGCAGTATGCACAAAGAAATGTTAGCAAACAAAGGTGCGAGAATGGTGTTGATCTCTCAGAAAACTTGAGGGCAAGCTCACCTTCACAACCTGCTCTTCAGTGGTGTTTTTATCACATGTTCCTTCCATGACAGTGTCGGAATCGTGGGCAGGAGTCAAGTAACAAAAAGGCATCCCATTTGTGTTTCCATACCCAGTACTCCCTTCACACAGGTACCTGAGATCGTCAAACAGGCTTTAACCTTTTTAACGGTCAGTAAATGGAACAAAATGTCCCAAGAGCACAGTCACCTTCGAGCGCACTAACGGAGACTTGTGGAGCAGGAACTGCAGGGGTGGGTGCAAATGCCTTGTCCTCAGGCTTCCCTGGGCCTTTTTGGACCAAGGTTTAGTACCCCCCTCTCATCCCCAGCAGCTTCAGGCGTGTCTGGGAGGACTGTCCCTGGCCTGGGCAGGTAAACTGCAGCCCATTCCTGAACCTCAGCCATCATTTCTTCCAATTGTTGACCTGGGTCCTCTCCTTCTCCATTTCAGTTCCTCCTCCTAAGTTCCCTAGCCACTAGTCTGGATTTTTTTCCTCTGTGGAGATTCTAAATCAGCTCCTCTAAAATTCACATTTTCATTGTGTTTCTTCTGTCATGATGAACATATCTGGCATAAATCAACCCTTTTACATACCTACCCATTCTCATTCCCTCCTTCCTTCTCTCCTCTCATCCTGTCTGCTGGCTGTAACTGCAATCAAGTCTGCAGCTCTTTCTGGCTCTTTATCTTCCCTCCCTCTGTCCCCTGTCCTTTCCTCTTGATTCGCCTTTTGTCTTTAACTTTACTTCTACTTCACTTCTTCGCATTACTCTTCTCGCGTTCCCAGCCTTATTCGTGTGCCTCATTTTGCCTAATTCTTATTCCATGTATTCCCTTCTCCACTTGTCTTTTCCATCAGTAATCATGATAATCATCCCGGCTTTGCAGTTTGTTTGTTTTTTCATTCAAGACCATGATGACATTTTACCACATTATCTTTTGTCTCTTAAGCATCCGTGTGGACCAGCATCAAAGTTCTAAAAAGGGTCCAAATGAAGTAAAACATCAGCATAATCATTCTGTTTTGTGATGTTGGCAAAAATCCTATTTAAATAGTCTTAAACAGTTAGGCCAGTTTTCCCTTGGAAGTGTACTACAGAATTACTCATTCCATGTACAAGTAGAAGACATACTACTTCTCAGTCTTTCTGGAGCACTGGAAAGTGGCCAACACCATTGACAGGAAGTCTGCAGTCTGAGGAATGTTGTGTCTTTTCAGCTCTTGGCCAACATTCCTAGAGAAGAGATCAACAGGTCAAGGCTGGGCAGGGTTCCCCCTAGGAACTCCTGTTAGGTGATCACTGGAGACTCTGAAATCATTCCCGCCTCTCCTGCCCAGTGTCCCATCCCTCTCCCACAGACGTGTCATCTCAGAGCATAGGAAGGCGAGTCTGTGGCTTTGTGATTCCATGTCCTCCTGTCTAACTCCATTGGCTGTTCTAACTGTGCTTGCTTACTGGTCTGTGTAGAGTAAATACTAACTGCCACTTCCTGCCTGACTTGTCTTTAGAAGACACCCTTGTCTGTCTTCTCCCTGCATCCCTTCAGGCTGCTCAGACAACTCCACTGGCTGAACACAGGCTTGGATGTGTGCTTCTTCCCTGACATGCAGGAGGAATGCCGGCCAGGACCAGGAACTAGCCCCGGACTTTCCATGCCGCCTGACTTGGCATGCTGGGGGGTCCAAGGATGCTGGGAGGGGAATATTGGACTCATCTCTTTGTGTCGTCACAAACTCAGTGTCCACCATGCAGGACTGAAGGGGAATTGGTGATGGTGGGTGGAGATGGTTCCACTGAGTTTAAAGAGGGGCATGCATTTCTTGCAAGGGAATTCTCTGCTCAGGAACTAAATAAGGTATTGAAAATGCTGCACCATCTCATTATTTCTGCCCTTGTAAAAGGAAGTGGAGTCCCTTGGTGGGAGTTCTCAACTACTAACTGAAAGGTTGGAGGTTCGAACTCACTCAGAGGTACCTTGGAAGAAAGACCTGGCAGTCTGCCCCTGAAAGGTCACAATCAACTGAAAAGTCATTTGGAGCGCAGTTCAACTGTGCCACACATGGGGTAGCCATGAGTTGGAACTGATTTGATGGCAACTGGTTTAAGAAAGAAGTATGGTGTTGAATTTATTGTGGCACTTGTAGGATCAGCACTGAACTGCAAACCACAAGATCGGCAATTCAAACCCACCAGCTGCTCCCTGGAAACTGTGTAGGGTATCTGTGAGTCGGAAGCGACTCCACAGTGCAGAACAACAACAATGGAGTACTGTGAGAATAACACTGAATGAGGCTTTAGAAGAACTGGGTTCTTAGAGAACAGTCACCTCTCCCCTGCATTTCTGGCTTTCTTTTGGTTTTTTTTTCCAAGTGAGTGGGTGGATTCGGTGGTTACTAAGGCTCTTTGCCACTCTGAGGAGTTACATATTAACCAGATTAAAGATCAGTACCAGAGTTGGGTTTTTGTTTGTTTGTTTTTTTAGCATTAAGGAACTATGAAACCGAAGTAATTTGATCTAGTACAGTGGTACTCAAGTGGGGATGATTTTACTCCCACCCCACTCCCAACCCCGGGGGAGGTATTGGGCAATGTCTGGAGAGATTTATTTGTTGTCCCAACTCTGGGAAGGACGGATGTTACTAGTGTAGTGTGGTTAGAGGCCAGGGACGATGCTAAGTATCCTGCAATGCATACTATAGTGCCCACAACAAAGAATTGTCTGCTCCAAAATATCAGTAATGCCAACGTTGAGAAATCCTAATCGAGATTAAAATAGTAATTTGTGTGATGGTGAATATATTCAAATCAGCAACCTCTCAAATGACCAGGGCGCCCCCTTTTTCTTCTTGAATGTCGTTCATTTTCTCCACTATAGTCTAGTAATTAGTTTGCCCTTTAGCTATTATGTTGATAATACCTGTCTTCAGGGCATTGGACTGCTAACCACAAGGTCGGCAGTTCAAACCCACAAGCTACTCCTCGGAAACCCTATATAGGATCATTATGAGTTGGAACTGATTCAGCAGCATTTAACAACAACAGTTAACACAGGGTTAAACATTGGGCTGCTTAAAACCCACCAGCCACTCCACAGGAGAAAAATGAGGCTGTCTGGTTCAGTAAAGATTTTCAATCTCAGAAACCCTATGGAGCAATTCTATTCTATCCTAGATGATCACTGTACGTTGGAATCGACTTGTCAGCATTGGGGTTAATCTGGCCTTTGTCTTATTCCAAATAATATTGATCTCCCAAATTTCACTTCCCTATTTGCTCTTCCCTTCTCCCTACTATTTTAGCTGCCATTGCACCAGCAATCAGTCTTTCCTGGGCTTTCTTCTCCTGCCTACTTCTCTGTCCTTCCCCACTTGGGTCCCCTGTCCTCTCTTTCACTGTGAACAGTTACAGCAAGGTCAGGTAAAGGAGATGCTCTAGTGTCAGAAACAAGATCCTTCCTGTCCCTTCCATGATTCCAGCATTCCCCATGGAAAGATTTCCTGCCTATTAGGACATTCTCCATCTTGGCAGTGATACCCACTGGGACAAGAGATGATTTTCTTGGGCTTCAGAGAGGTGGAAATTTACAAAAGAAAATGAGGGTTTTCTCTGGGGTGGGCTCTCAAGTTAGGAGCTGGTGAGGAAGGTCTGACTACTCAAGGGAAATGCAGATGTTCAGAGGGGAGTGGAGGTCCTCCTGCAGCAACCATAGAGTCTTGATTTCCCCCAGTGGTTCCTGCAGTTTGTGTAACGGTTTTCTATATAATCTTCTGTACATTTTTTTAAGGTTTGTTTTTTTTTTTAATGTAAGTAAATTCGTTGTTGTTGTTAGGTGCCATCGAGTCGGTACCAACTCATAGCAACCCTATGCACAACAGAATGAAACACTGCCCAATCCTGGGCCAAGCTCACAGTCGTTGCCACACTTGTGCCCATTGATGCTGCCACTTTGCCAATCCATCTCCCTGGGAGTCTTCCTCTTTTTCTCTGACCCTCCACCTTACCAAACATGATATCCTTCTCCAGTGACTGGTCCCTCCTGACAATATGTCCAAAGTATGAGAGACAAAGTTTGGCCATCCTGACCTCCAAGGAGCACTCTGGCTGCACTTCTTCCAAAATGGATCTATTGGTTCTTTTGGCAGTCCATGACACTTTCAATCTTACAAATTACACATACTCAAAAAAAAAAGTTTTTTGGTTTTTTTTGACACTGCTTATATCCCAACATTTGGTTTAGAAATATGGCCTTTGTTCCCTCTGGAAAATGTTGGCATCTCCATAAAAGAGGTGGTTAGGTGACAACACTCACAGCTTGAAAGAAGTAGAAAGAAAAAGGAAGTCAAAAACAGATGAATGTATTAGAAGACTGCATTGCAGTTTTTAGCATGATAGTTAGTCTAGAAGTCAGCTGTACACAGGATATCCCTCGATGCTCACTAGATATGCTGGGGAACCTGGTTGCGGTTATTATACGCACTGCTTCACTGCTTCAGACTGTCTTTCCTTTGCTTCTCTCCAGCAACAGTTGGGCAAGAACATCAAGTTTGGACAGCCTCCACCCAATGCCATTCCCATGAAGAAGGCAGACAGCGGTGAGGCTAGCTTAGAAGAAGATCTGTTCCTGACCAGTCCCATGGAAATTGTGACTCAACAAGACATCATCCTCTCAGACGTGGAAAACAAAGTAAGTCTCCTTATAGGATTTCTAATAAGCCAGGGAGGATGTTGGACAGTAGATAAAATATCCAGTAACCCTGGGTTCTACAGTGGGGTCAACAAGGCAGGGGAAGATTTTCTAATGAGTGGCCCAGGACTGGAGGGCACTTTCCGGGCATAGTGTTCCTCTACGAAGAGAGTTCATTGACAGTCGCCCTAATTTTTAGTTGAGCCAACATGGGGTGAGAGGGAAAGACGAGAGAAGAGGAGGCATGGGCCTTTGCACACCCTCTTCCCAGTGACTTCCACTTTCACTCAAGACCCTAGCCCCACGTCCCAAGATGCATTGCATTATCTCCTCTGTATCATCACTGTGTACTTAGCATATATATGTCCACACCCTATCTGGGTCCCTGTCCATGGAACTTTTTTTACTCCATCTCTAAATGTTGAATTTCTTGAGGACAAACTGGATCTAACATCTGTATTTCCTCAGCACTTAGCCAATGCTTACTAAGTTGTTGTTGTTAAGTGTTGTAGAGTCGGTTCTAATTCATAGCAACCTTGTATAGGGTTTCTAAGGATCACCTGGTGGATTTGAAGAGTCTGCCCTGCAGTTAGCAGTCCAATACTCATCCTACAGCACCATACCAGGACTCCACCTACTACACTGTTGTTGGTAGGTGCCATGAAGTTGGTACCAACCCTCAAGACCCTATGCACAACAGAACGAAACCCTGATGGTCCCGTGCCAGCCTCACAATCGTTGCTGTGTTTGAGCCCATATCTCTTACCACTGTGCTGTTAAAAGGAAGTTCTTCCTCTTTTTCTCCAACCCTCCACTTTACCGAACATGATATCATTCTCCAAGGGCTGGTCCCTTCTAATAGTATGTTTGAAGTATGAGATGAAGTCTGACCATCCTGGCTTCCAAAGAGCATTTTGTTTGTACTTCTTCCAACACAGATTTGTTTGTTCTTTTGGCAGCCCATGGTACTTTTAATATTCGCCTCCAACATCATAACTCAAATGCAACGATTCTTCTACGGTCTTCCTTTTTCACTGTCCAGCTTTCACATGCATATGAGGTTATTGAAAATACCATGGCTTGGGTCAGGCGCACCTTAGTCCTCAAGCTGACATCTTTGCTCTTGAACACTTTAAAGAGGTCTTGTGCAGCAGATTTGCCTAATGCAATATGTCATTTGATTTCTTGACCGCAGCTCCCCTCATGAGTGTTGACAGTTGATGTGAGCAAAATGAAGTCTTTAACAAGTTAAGTCTTTTCTCCATTTATATGGATATTGTTTATTGGTCCAGTAGTGAGAATTTTTGTTTTCTTGACATTGAGATGCAATCCATACTGTGGTCTTTGATCTTCATCAATATTTTAAGTCCTCTTCACTTTTAGCAAGCAAGGTTGTGCCATCTGCTTATCGCAGGTTGTTAATGACTCTACCTTCAATCCTGATGCCACGATTTCCTTCATATAACCCAGCTTCTCAGATTATTTGCTCAGCATACAGATTGACTAAGTATGGTGAAAGAATACAACCCTAGGGTACCTACTACATAGCCCTAAGTAATTACTTGGTGAGTTGGACTGATTTAAAAAGAAACAGAAATAGAAAAGGATTAGGGGCTCAGTGAGCTAGAACATATCAAACAGGCAAGCTCAACGGCCACTTAGATTGGACAAAAAGTCAAATTCCTGCACTGTCTTATGTTCTATAAAGAGTCTTCTATGTGTGGTATGGAGACTGGACGAAGAGAAGGCAAGCAGATGTTTTTACTTTAGAAAAAAAGATAAGACCCTTTTGTAAAAATGGGTGACACAAGATAGAAGCTACTTTGTGGTTACTAGGTGCTGCTGAGTCGATTTCAGCTTCTTTGACAAAGCAGAACTGCCCCTTAGAGTTTTCTTGGCTGTAATCTTTATGAAAGCAAATAAAGCACATGGAGTGGTCGGGACGATTTGAACCATCAACTTTCAACTAGCAGCTTAGTACTTTACCATTTGCACCACCAGGGCTCCTTATTAAAAGTATGTTGTTATTTGCTTAGTGCCGTCGAGTCAATTCCACTCATAGTGGCCCTGAATAGAATTTCCAAGGAGCAGCTGGTGGGTTTGAATCATCAACCTTTTGGTTCACGGTCCAGTGCTGATCATACAGCACCACATCAGGAGTTGAATGTTGTTGTTAAGTGCCATTGAGTCTGTTCCGACTCATAGCTACCCTGTGTAGGGTTTCTGGAAGTCTTGGTGTGGCGCTGTGAGTTAATGCACCAGACTGCAAAGCCATTTCAACTGAAAGGTCAGCAATTCAAGCTCACCAGCTGTTCCTTGGAAACCCTATACAGGGTCGCTATAAGTCAGAACTGACTTGATACTGTGGCATGCCCTTAACAACAACAACATAGGTTTTCCAAGGAGTGGCCAGTGAGTGTGAACCTCCAACCTTGCAGTTCAAACCAACCTTGTGGTTCAGTGTTTATCCTCCAACACCACACCAGGACTCCCAAGAGTCCAATGTTGCTGTTGGCATTAAGTACCATCAAGTCAGTCCCGATATGGGGATTAAAGAGGTGCAGTTACTTGCTGTGAGTATTCCAAGGGCATGCCACAGTAACTGTAGTGTGAATCCCAAACCTTGTGATCAGTTTTCCCTAATGTATGCTTTAGCCTCCTCTCTGGACCTTCACCTTCTCAGAGCAGCCATTTGCATTTGCCATTACTGGACCTTTCTTTTCTTCTTATCCACTGCTTACAAATGAGAAGTCCGGTAGGTAGAGGAGGTGAAGACAGCCAGCGGAGCTGGGGGTTCTGAGCTTGTAGACAATATGTATAGCATAGCCCTCCTCCCCAGGAAGGTGGTCAGTGAGCAACTCCTCAGATTCTCCCAGGCAGTGGAGAAAAGTATCAAGAACTGAGACTGAAGATTGCGCAGGTGAGGAGACCGTATTGTATGTGGGAAAGACTCTAGTGGACATTATATGTCTGAGATAGCCCTTGGGACATTTGGCCATTAACAAAGTCTCCACCAGGACTCTTACTGCCTCTTTGAAGTGGACTGCACCCCAGTGTAGAGGTGGGGGGTGGCCCTGCTCAGACACCCACAGCATCTGGTTATTTGCCCAGACCTTCCTGTTCTGACTTTAACATGTGTGCACTCTTTATTGTTCCAGTCCAGTGATACGCCAAGTTCTCTCAGTCCTTTGAATCTCTCTGGAGCTGGAAGTGAGATGGAAGAGAAGGTAGTGTGATTTTTAACCTATTTCTTTAGCTTTTTTACTTTAACTTCGATTTTTCTTTTTATTGGTGATCTATTGCCTCACTTTATTTATAAATGCTGCATCCATGCATTTCTTAAAATCTCTTCAAAATAAAACCATGTGGGAGAAGTAGATGCTAGGGGTAGATGTCGCAGTGAAGCTGGAGCTAAACTCTGCTCTGAAAAGCAATTACACCCCACTTGAGTACGTGTGGCATCCTGTTGTTGTTTGATGCCGTCACATCAGTTCTAACTCATATTGACCCCGTGCACAACAGAATTAAACACTGCCCCATCCTGCGCCCTCCTCACAATCCCTGCCATGTTTGAGCCCACTGTTGGAATCACTGTGTCAATCCATCTCATTGAGGGTCTTTCTTTTTCACTGACCCTCTACTTTACCTAACATGATGTCCTTCTCCAAGGATTGGCCCCTCCTAATAGCTTGTCCCAAATACATGAGATGAAGTCTGACCATCTTCTCTTCTAAGGATCATTTTGCTGTACTTCTTCCAAGACAGATTTCTTTATTCTTCTGGCAATTCATGATATATTCAATATTCTTCATCAACACCTAACTGAAGTGCATCAATTCTTCCCCAGTCTGCCTTACTCACTGTCTAGCTTTCACATGCATATGAGGCGATTGAGAAAACCTTGACTTGGCTCAGGCACACCTTAGTCCTCAAGGTGACAGCTTTACGTTTTAACACTTAAAAGAGGTAAGGTTTGCAGCAGATTTGCCCAATATATTATGTCATCTGATTTCTTAACCCCTGCTTCCATGCACATTGATTGTGGATTCAAGTAAAATTAAGAGAATTTTCTTTTATTTAGAGATACAAAACCACAGTATTTTCTACTTTGTGTTTATGTGTGTGTTGCTTTTCTGCATTCCTTTTTTTTTTTTTTTTTTAAGTTTTTTTTTTGAATTGAGTGATCGTTTACATGGGAGAACATCGGTTCAATCATCGTTTAATTTCAATGATTACAATCTCCTCCATGCACCACCATGCAACAGTATTGGCTTCTATTCCTTCTGCAGTTTTGTTTGTTTGTTTGTTTTGGGATGTACACAGAAACACTCAGGGATATATAATCATTTAAACAACCAAAGGGCACATTCTGCAAGCCTGCCTACTGACAACCGCACACAGCCTTTCTCTTTCCATGAGTCTAGAGGCCTCAGCTGCTCTATCTCTCCATGTCCTCATCTCTGCCTCCATCTCTGGTGTCACTGCTTCTCTTGATAGGGTCCCTCTGCATTCCTTTTACACTGGAACTTTACCTGCAGGAATTTGGAGGGTGGTGGGATAGAAAGGGCCCTGTGAGACTCTTGTGCACCTCTTTGGTAGAGGTTGGTCTGCCCCTACGAGAACCTTCCTTCTGCTGCACAAGCATCTGGCGTCCTCCTGACATCTGGTCAGCAGTACAATAAGCAGGTCTACAATGGAGTCTTCTGAAGCTGGGCCTCACAACAGTGCCCCTGCCACTATGGTAAAGAGGCCCAGCTGGAAGGACTCAGAAATTAACCATGGCCTATAAATCGCAGCTTCCAGGCCATGCTGTGTCTTCAATCTATCAGGGTTTTTTTGAAAGAATAATAAAAGTTTATTTTGTATATATAAAATCACTTCAAAAAGCTCATGGAAGTATTCCATTAACTTTTTTTAAAATATTTTATTATGAATTATGTGATAGTTTACATGAGAGAACATTAGTTTTACATTCATCCTATCGTATATCATTTCATTGCCATGGTTACAGTCCCCTCCATGCATCATCAACCAACCAAATGGTATACCCTGCAAGCCTGCCCCCCAGTCATCAGCACATAGCCTCTCTCCCTTTCTGGGTCTAGAGCTCCCAGCCACTTCATGTCTACTCATCATCATCTCTGCTTCCATCTCTGGCGTCACTGTTTCTCTGGGTAGGGTCCCGCACTCCGCTCTTCTCCCTTGATGGTCCCAGGGACCTCTGCTCCTGGACTGCAAAGTCAATCACTCCCCTCCATTTGCTACAAAACATCTACCTTTACATTTCCAACCCTCACAGTCAGACCTGATAGCAATTATTCATTATTGTATCACAAGAGACCTATCCCCGTCTCCTTTCATCAGCCCTACCTAGACAGATTGGATACTGCTCAGTGGAGATTCTACCTTCCTCCATGCCCTCTGGATCTAGGCTCCCTCTTGAAAGCTTGTAAGCCAGTCACTTCTTGCCTTTGTAGCCCCCCCATTTTGGGTAGACAATGCCCAAGTTGCCCATCCCTGTCTACTCTGTATATGGAGGGGGTGGAATGATCCTTGCTGTAAGGATTTGTTCCCTCTTTTGAGCTCTGACCTATTCTTGAAAAGAGATGAGTTAAACATTTGTTTTCTTCCCTTCATCAATAAAAAGAGTTAAAAACAAACCGGATAAACAACAAGGTGGATGGGAAAACAATTAGGCAGGTTTGCATGGGCTAAATGGGACAGAGGTAAATAATGATGTATGCACAACCTTAGAACAACAGGGCTCTGGGATACAGGAATTGAGACACGGTTGGAATGGGCAAAAGGGGGGAAATAATGTTAAGATGCTGGGTTGTCTTTTCAATCTTGGTTTCCCTGTCATACCATTATAAAATAGACACTTGAGGGAGAGAGAAAGGAATGGTCAGAAATATCACCATAGAAAGCTTATAAGTCTGTCTTCTGCCTATAACTGATTGGAATACATAAAATGTATTCTCCATTGAGTAGTATCCAAAAAAATAGAATAGGTCAGAATCTGACACCAGTTGCAAGGATTTTTTTGTTGTTATTAAGTGTCGTCGAATTAGTGCCTCATAGCAACCCTGTATAGGTTTTCCAAGGAGTGGCTGGTGGTTTTGAGCCTTGTGGTTGGCAGTTCAGTGCCACAACAGGACTCCAGTTGTAAAGATTGTTGTTGTTGTTAAGTGCCATCTAGTCGGTTCCTACTATAGCAACCCTGTATAGGATTTCTGAGGAGAAGCTGGTGAGTTTGAACTGCTGACCTTGTGGTTCAAACCAACTTTGCGGTGCAGTGCTTTATCCTACAGCACCACACCAAGAGTAAAGATGGTGGTGGTGGTGTGCCATGAGGTTGGTCCCGACTTACAGCAACCCTGCACAGAGTTTCCAATGGTGGTGGTGGTGGTGGTTATGTGCCGTGGAATCAAGTCTGACTCATGATGACCTTTATAGGGTTTCAGAGACTGTAAATCTTTATGGGAGCAGGAGCCTCATCTTTCTCATGTGGAACAGCTGGTAGTTTTGAACTGCTGACCTTGAGGTTAGCAGCCCAACTCGTAACCACTATACTACCAGTGTTGGATAGCCATAGATAAATGAGAACTAGAAGACTGAAGGCTGGAATTATTTTTCCATGCCCCTGCGTACTTCTATCATAAATTAATACTGACTGAGCAACCATTTTGCTCCTGGAGCTAGCTTTGTCTTTTCTCTTTTGTGCATAGATTGGGAAGGTAATTGCAAAATACTAGCCCTTTGGCTAAATCCCATTGATTTTACTCTAATAGCAGGAATACTTTCAAACAAATGAACCCTGTCCCCTGCTAATGCTGCCTCTGTGTCCTGCAGCACTGCCAGCATCAGTAGGCAGGACAGTGAGCGCGCCCTGCTGCACATGGGATTGTGTGGCAGGAGACCACTCCTGGCTGCTTGCCTGTGAACACATTATCTGTGGTTAAAGGCCTTTTGCCATATTATTCAGTGTGGCTTCTAGGCTCAGCCTGAGCCTTGGTAACTCTGACTTTCTAAATCTGTATAACTGAGGATCTAGGTCTGCAGTTTGCTAATGATCGCATCTGTACTACAGAGCTGCAGGCTGTTCTGCAATTCACGCCCTTGTGGCACATTCTTTCCTTCATTTATTCGCAAGGTTAGTGGTTGGAGTCCTCTAGCTGCTCCACAGCTTTCAACACACATAAACTTACAACCTCAGAAACCCTGTGCAGGGTCCCTATGAGTCAGAACGGTCTGATGGCACTTAACAACAACAACAGTGGTCATAGATGCTACACTTTATTGCTCCTTCATTCTTTCACTATGTATTTATTGAGTACTTTCCAGATGCAGTTTGCTATTGGAGCATACAGGAGATTGAGCTAATGATGATAAAGACAAAACTCCCTGCTTTTAAGGGTTTGAAGTTCTGTGTAGTAGATGAGGCATGTACTCATGATGTCTAGGGGTCAGAAAACCACTGGATAGTTTAGGCTTTGCAGGGCCATAGGCTGTAAATATACAATTATTTAACTCTGTGCTTGTAACACAAGGACAACCAAAGACAATGTGTGCGCCAGTAAAGCTTGATTTACCAAACAGACCAAGAGCAGGATGAAGCCCCCTGATCTAACTTAGGAGAGCCATAGTGGGTCAGTGGCAGGATTTTCATCTTTCCTCAAGAGACCAATGTTCGGGACCTTATCCAGAGAAGCAGCAACACTAGAAATGGAGGCAAGATGGGGACATGGAGAGAGGGAACAGCTGAGGACTCTAGATTCATGGAAAGACAGGGACTGAGAGCTGGCAGTCAGGAGGCAGACTTGCAGAATGTGCAATTTGGTGGTTTACATTTTTATATATGCCTGAGTGTTTAAAAAAAGAGCTAATATGAATAGAGAGATATACTGTTAACTGATGGTACATGGAGGGGATTATAACCATTGTAATGAAACAAAGTATATGATTTGGTGAATGTAAAATGATGATCTGCCCTGTAAACTTTCACTCAATTCACAATAAAAACTTTTTAAAAAGAGAGAGAGAGACCAACTCTTCCAAGCAGTGTGCCTCCTGTGCACTGTCTATTGGTGGAGATTTGCGTCTTACCTTGATGGTGAACAGGTTAAAGTGGAGCTTCCAGACTAAGACAGACTAGGAAGGAAAGTTTAGCCATCTCCTTCCTTAAGTCAGCCGATGAAAACTCAATAGATCCCAATAGTTCTATCTGCAACCCATCACAGGTTGTTAGCACAGGACCAGGCAGCACTGGATTCTGTTGTGCATGAATTCTAAGGCAGTTAACAACAACTGCAAAATCTGTGTGGGCCCATGTCTGACTTCCCCTGGCTTCACAAGGGGAAAAGATTATCAAACTCAAAATGAGCCCCAGACCGATTCCTATGAAATGGATATGAAGTAGGATTCCTATGAAGTCAGATATGCCTATTTACCCAATTTGGACACCAACCATCCCTCCCACAGCACTCTCTACTTCATAACCCATTGTAATGGCTACACAGAACCTACAATATTACTCATGATTGTTGGGTATATTAGGAAAGTGAACAGTTTACAATTCAGGATCAAAAAACAACTCAGGACTCAGCAGTTCTCCAGTCAAGAACACTGCTTGTCTGCCATAGTGCAGACATGCCTCATTCTTGTCCTCAGCCTCTCAGCCCTGTGACCCCCTGACCTCTGCCCTGCTCGGGCAAGTGTTACCAAGCTCCTGAGTCAGTCGGTAAATGTCCAAAGAGCACACTCTGCAAGCCGGCCTCCTGCCTGTAGGAACACAGCTTTCCTCAGGCCCTGGGCCTAGATAACTACAGCGCTGCAAGTCGCCACCTCTGCCACTGCCTCTACTGTCGTTGCTTTTCTAGGTAGGGATCTCACACTCCACTCATGCTCTTGTTTCTTGATGATCCTGAGATTGTTCATTCCTGCTTCTGAGGTGGCTCCTTCTAAACCTAGCAGGATGGAAAAACTAAACAATCCCAGCCTTAGAGTCCTGTACACCTTATTTGGTAGAAATTAAGAAACCATTGAATGGAAAAGCCATATCAAGTAAACCCATGGTACCACACAACACAAGGATTTAGCCTAATCACACTGTGGGTTAATGCGCCAGACTGCAAAGCCATTTGAACTGAAAGGTTAGTGGTTCAAGCTCACCAGCTCCTCCTTGGAAACCCTACACAGGGTCGCTATGGGTCGGAACCTACTTAACGGCACTTCACAACAACAACAAATATTCTTCAGTGTAGGAAACTTAGGTCCAGAAAGATTAAATGGCCTTTACAAGTTACTACAAGTAGTCATTGGCAGAGCAAGTGTTCAAAGCCAAGACCAGAGCTCTTTCACTGCACCACAAAAGTCCCTTCTACTCCCCAACATTGCCTAGGCCAGGCAGGACATGGCAAAGGCTCGAACAAGTACTACTACTCTGGGGTCCCCTGCAAGTTGCTTTCTGATCCTGGTTGACTTTCTCTTTCAACCTCTACTCTAGGTTGCTCCAGTTAAACCGTCTCGGCCAAAAAGGCACTTCTCCTCTGCTGGCACCATCGAAAGTGTCAATCTAGATGCCATTCCCCTGGCCATTGCTCGCCTGGACAACAGTGCTGCCAAGCACAAACTGGCTGTTAAGCCAAAAAAACAGAGGGTGTCCAAAAAGCACAGACGACTTGCTTTGGTATGTATAACCCTGCCCTAGCTGACCAGGCAGATGCCCTTGCTCTTGGGCACGACTTGTCCCCCAGTGGGTTGGTATTGTGGTAGTGCCATCGAAAGAACTAGGTCCCTCCCCACTGGGAACTTGTGAGTGGCGTTGTACAAGGGTTAGCAGGACGTTGACTTTCCAGAGCCTTTTCTGATATGTTGCCCTAAGGTAGACTGATGGACCACAGAGGAGAGGCTGCCTTTGAGAGCTTCCAGACACTGCGTTTGATTTGCTGCACAAAGGTGGCCCAGCTCTCCTCTGCCTTAACTTAGCAAAGTCAAATTAGATTGAGTTAGACTCCTAAGTCACAGGTTTCAGGGGACATGAATGAAGTCAAGATCTCAAATCCTCTTAACCGCTAAATACTGGACTGTAGGTTTTCCTGGGTGATGCAAACCATTAAAATGTTCAGCTACGTAAGGTTAGAGGTTTAAGTCTACCCAGAGGAGCCTCAAAAGAAAGGCCCAATGATGTGCTTCCAAAACATCAACTACTGAAAATACTGTCGAACCCAGTTCTACTCTGACACACATGGGGTCACCAAGAGTCAGAGTTGGCTTGATGACAGTTGCTTTTGGAACTCATATTGGTTTTCCAATGGTCGTTCATGGGTGTAAAGGTAAAAGGAATTGGGGGATGATACAGAAAAGGTGATCGGTGTTGCTGAAGACCATCAAATTGATTCTGACTCATAGCAAAGCCATAGGACAGACAGCAGATTGACAGTTCTGTCTCCCCCAGAGTCTCTGGATAGGTTCAGAATGCCAACCTCTTGGTTGACAGCTGACTACTTAACTGTTGTACCACCAGGACTCCTTTAAATAAAGGGGCTAAAGGATGAAAGTAAAGTTCTTTCCTTTATACTCAAAACTTACTTATAGTGTGACCTACACTTGAGTTTTTATATACTTAGGAGCACCTGCCCCTTCACTTGAGATTACGAGGGCCATCCACATTGTGAATAGGATCGGTAATGGTTGCCTGTGAAAAAGTAAAATAACTAACTCTGCTTCTCTTTACCAATGTTAGGATCAACAAAATGAGCAAGGTGGCCTGGAGAGCCAGCTGTCCCTGGACCAGAATGGACACCCCAGAGAAGACAAGCAGATTTGGCTTGAAGAGGAACCAGAGCCCGTGGACTCGGAGGAAGAGAAACGTCGCCAAGAAGAATACTGGCAAGAACTTGAGGCCAAGTGCAAACGACAAAAGGCCGAGGCAGCAGAGAGGAGACGCCTAGAAGAGCAGAGACAGCAAGCCTTGGAGCGAAGGCTGTGGGAAGAGAACCGAAGGCAGGAGCTCGCGGAGGAGGAGAGAGAAGAGAGAGAGGGCAAGGAGCAAGAACCTTCACTAGAGGCAGAGATTAGGCATCCAGAAGAGGAGACTCGGTGGTGTGCAGAGCTGGGTGGCCCAGACCCAGAGGGGAGGGAGCAAGAGGACAAGGAACTCCTAGGGGCTGAGGAGCAGCAACTCCTGCGGGAAGAGGCCAGGCAGCTGGAGCAGCACAGGCAGCAGGGGGATCTGGAGGAGCAGAGGCAGTGGCAAGAGGAAGAAGAAAAAAGGCTGGAGAAACTGGAGGCTCAGAGAAGGCAAGAGGATGAGGAAAGACTGAAGAAAGAGCTCAAAAGACTGGAGGAAGAGCAGAGAAGGCAAGAGGCTGAGAAGCAGCGGCTTCAGGAGGAAGAAAGGAGGCTGTCTGAGCTCCGAAGGCTGAAGGAACTGGAGGAGCAGAGACAGCGTGGGGAAGAAGAAAAATGGATGCTGGAGCGCAGAAGGCTGGAGGAGCTGGAAGCTCAGAGAAGGCAGGAAGAGGAGGAAAGGAGGCTAGAGGAGTTCAGACAGCAGGAGAGGGAGGAGCGGGAAAGACAGGAGGAAGAGGAAAAGCGGATGGAGGAGCTTAAAAAGCAGGAGGATCTGGAGGCACAGAAGAGGCAGCAGGAGGAGACAGAGACAAGGACACAGGAAGAGCTCAGAAAGCAGAAGGAAGTGGAATTCCAGAGGAGGCAAGATGCTGAAAAGAAGTACCAGGAAGCTCTGCAGAGACGAAGTGGAGAGAGGCCACTGGGACCGGAAGGACAAATGGATCCGTGGAGCACACTTCAGAAGGACTTTGAAGAGAAACCAGGAGAACAAGAAAACGTGAAGCCCAAAAAGCAAAGAGAAAGCTCTGAAGAGCTAAGCTTAGCCAAGGAGCTAAGCCCAGAAGCCATGCCATCCATAGAGCAGCAGGGGAAGAAGGGGCATGTTCATGGGGAAGAACATCACTCACTTCCTGAAAAGAGAGAAGAAGCTAAGCCAGAACCTCCCCTGAACAAAGAGGGACAGAGGGAAGAAATGCTGGCTCCAGTGGAGAAGAGACAAACGGTCACTCCAGAAGCAAACCGGAAGGTGGAAGAGCTAAGGTGGCAGGAAGTGGATGAGAGACAGACCATGCCCAGGCCCTACACGTTCCAGGTGTCCTCAGGAGGGAAGCAAATCCTTTTCCCCAAAGTCAACTTGAGCCCAGTGACTCCTGGGAAGGACACAGGACTTGTGTCTACCCCCCTTGAACAAAAGGCCCACAAAGCCAGCCTGGCCTCTCACGCTCTGCCCTCCGCCCTGAGCATCCCCCACACGGCCATTCTGGTGACAGGAGCTCAGCTCTGCGGGCCGGCCGTCAACCTGAACCAGATCAAGGATATGGCATGCAAGTCTCTCTTGGGCTTGTCTGAGGAAAAGAAGCACGTGGATCTGCCCACTGTGGAGAGCCTGTCCCGAGCTCCCAGCGACCCCAGGACAACCAGTGGGAAGACCAAGCCTCCACATGAACATTCCAGCAGTGGGGCAGCAATAGCCGAATGGGCTTCCATCCGGTCCAGAATCCTGAAGAACACCGAGGGTGACCATCGGGCTGAGAGAGACCAGAAGCTGGGTGATGAGGTCATTCCCAGGGGTCGATGTGATTCCCGAGGAAACCTCCGGAAGACCCCGCCAGTCAATGCAAAGTTCTCTATTATGCCCGCCTGGCAGAAATTCTCTGATGGTGGCATGGAGACCTCCAGACAGAACGTAGAGGCAGAAAGTATCCGAAAAAGATCTGGGCCAGGACCCAATGAAGACACAGAATCCCCACCTCCGGCCTCTGGTCCTCAGGAGCCCCGAAAGAGTCCAGAGAAACTGGGGATGCACCAGGAACCAACGGACACCACCGAGGGATGCAAATTTGCCAAAGATCTTCCATCCTTCCTTGTTCCATCCCTTCCATCCCCTCCACAGAAAGCAGTGACCCACCCAGTGCCCGTGAGCACTTCAGAAAGTGAGACCACAAGTGGGAGCAGGAAGCCAGACCACCAGGTATCAGGTGGGGAGGAAAAAGCCTCACCTTTTGGAATAAAGTTAAGGAGGACCAACTATTCCTTACGCTTCCACTGTGATCAACAAACGGAACAAAAGAAGAAGAAAAGGCACAGTAGCACAGGGGACAATACTGAAGGGGGCCAGCTTGCTCCTGATAGCACAAGTGGAGAGACAGGGAAAGAGTGTGTGGCCCTCAAGCCTGGTCCACCCCTCAACCGAGAGAGGAAGCAGGCCCCAACCACCCGGAAGGACAGTGCAGAAACCCCTTCCAGCCACTTGCCTCCTGTGGCTCAGCCTGGGCCCATGGCGCCCAACAGCCAGACCTCAGCTGCAGATGATGACAAGGTAGCAAATAAAATGCCTCTTGTGCAGAAACCAGCTCTGGCTCCCAAACCCACCAGCCAGACCCCACCATCATCCCCACTCTCCAAACTAAGCCGGCCCTACTTGGTAGAGCTTCTGGCCCGCCGAGCAACCAAGCCTGACCCAGAGCCCAGTGAGAGGGCCAAGGAGAGCCAGGAGACTAGTGACACGTGGTCACCCTCGCCAACGCCTCCCGAGGAAAAAAAGGCACAGAAGGATGAAGAGGAAGAGGCAGCAGAGAGGAAACCCTCTTCTCCAGCTCTGCCCGAGGCTTGCCAAGAAAAGCCTTCCCAGACTCCCGAGGCTGGAAGGAAAGGTTTGTAGCTGTGCGTCGGGAAACTGTGCCATCTGTCCAGCGCATGGTCAAAGTCACTTTGAAAGCCAGAGCTCCCTAAAGCCAGCAGCCAATGGAGCTGCTGTTGGGAGCACCTGTTTTGAGGTGCATTTGAGGCCAGTTTGGGATGCCCAAAAGACCCTCTAAGGCTTTTCTATTCATTCTTTAGAGTTGGGGGATTAGCCACAGGTCTACAGTTCACACCTGTTAACGACACTTAGTTGTGGTGGTTGAGTGCTATTGGGTCAGTTCCAACTCAGACGACCCAGTGTAGGGCTTCTGAGGAGCAACTAATGAGTTTGAACCACCAACCTTGAGGTTCAAATGGACCTTGCAGTTTTGCGCGGATCCTATAGAACCATGCCAAGACAAGTATTAAGTTAAAGGTGCCACACCTATACCAATAAGTGTTTGGTTCACAACAGAAATTGAAATGCAACTTTTAAAATAGTCTTTATGTATGTGTCTTTCATTACAAGGGAGACATGCAGGGGAGATAAAGACCAGAGGCTCCTAGGCCAGCAGAAAGTTCTGAGTTCTAGCTCTAAAATGTAGTGGTCCTAAGATAGTAGGTTAGGGGTATCAGACATCTCCACTGGGCCTCCCCTCCTCAAATGCGCTCATATGGAAAGTTGACGTGGTCTCGATTCTATGTAAAATACTCTCCCACTCCCGCCTCTACCCTACCTGCTTGCCTTCGCATCAAGAGATGCTTCCGTGCCTGTTACCTCTGACTGACCCTGATGTTTCTTCATATGGAAAGCTCTGGGCAAAGACTTGAGTAATCACTTTATAACTCTTGAGTCATCATCTAATGCTTTCTCTTTTCCATTTTGCATAGAGCAAGATGGTTAACTATTGTTAATAGTCCAGGAAGTTCCTCATATTTCTCCAAGAAATTCTCTGAGGTATTTATAAGGAGGAATGATGATCTCTTTTGATTCATTGTTTGAGTGTAGGGTGATTATTGCAGAGAAAAGGACTAAGGATGTTGGTTTGGTTACTCATGTTACGTAAGGTCCTGTTGTCATTAAATGTTTTCTTGCCTTCCTTGGTTTTCTGGATGGATTTATTGACCAGCAGTTTCTAGACCATTTCTCCCCAAGCTTTTCTGTCTGTCTTGCTATAATAATCCCAGTTTTAGTTTTGACATCCGTTTTGTGCCCTTAGCTTTCATGGTCTCCTCAAAGCCCCATCTCTACTTCTGTCACTGGCCCTAACTTCTCTTCAAAGAAGTAGTTCTCCTCTTTCTCTTAAGAGCCCTTTGTCTCATTAACATTTTATAACAGAAACTACCTGCTACCCTCCCCCCAGTATCCAGATTCTGGGCTGGCAGGAGGTAAAACTGATTTTTTCTTTATTTAGTAGTAAGAAAACCTGAGCGAACAAGGCACCCCTGCTTTATGGATGCTTTTACCTCTGAAGCCCACTCACTGGTGTTTTGCTCTCCAAACTACTCTAGTCCGAGCTTACCAACTATGTCTAACTGCACACCATATCAAAATAAACGTTAAGCAGGAACCTATTAATTATTTGACAATTGTATACCTATAGTGCCATCACTAGGAGCCCTGGTAGCACTGTGGGCTAGGCATTGGGCCAACTCCAAGGTTGGTGGTTCAAATCCACCAGCTGCTTGGTGGGAGAAATATGAAGCTGTCTGCTCCCGTAAAGATTTACAATCTTGGAAACACACTATATAGCATTTCTGTGAGTCCAGATTCCACTTGATGGCAGTGGGTTTGGTTTGGGGAGTGCTGCATTGTTGATGGTGTTGTTAGCTGCTGTCGACTTCGTTCTGATTCATAGAAACCCTATGTACGATATAACGAACGGCTGCCCAGTCCTGCGCCATCCTCACAGTTGTTACACTTGAGCCCACTGCTGCGGCCAATTCATCTTGTTGGGGATCTTTCTCTTTTTCACTGACTCTCCACCTTACCAAACATAATGTCCTTCTCCAGGGACTGGTCTCTCCTGACAATATGTCTGAAGTATGAGAGACAGAGTCTGGCATCCTGGCTTCTAAGGAGCATTCTGACTGCACTTCCTCCAACACAGATTTGTTTGTTCTTCCAGCCGCCCCTGGTACTTTTTCAATATTCTTCGGTCTTCTTATTCATTGTCCAACTTTCACATGCATATGAGGTTATTGAAAATACCATGGCTTGGGTCAGGTGCACCATAGTCCCCAAACTGACATTTTTGCTCTTCAACACTTTAAAGAGGTCTTGTGTAGCAGATTTGCCTAATGCAATATGTCGTTTGATTTCTTGACTGTTGCATCTATGAATATTGGTTTTGGATTTGAGCAAATGAAGTCTTTGACAACTTCAATTTTTTTTCCATTTTGTTGCTTATTGATAGGCTCTGTCAAGTCAGTACTGACCCATAGCGACCCCATGCACAACAGAACGAAACACTGCCTGGTCCTGCACCAACCTCACAATCATTGCTACGCTTGAGCCCATTGCTGCTGTCACTGTGCCAATCCATCTCATTGGGGGTCTTCTTCTTTTTTGTTGACCCTCTGCATTGCCAAGCATGATGCCCTTCTTCAGGGACTGGTCCCTCCTGATAATATGTGTGAAGTATGAGAGACAAAGTCTGGCATCCTGGCTTCTGAAGAGCATTCTAGCTGTACATCTTCCAACACAGATTTGTTTGTTCTTTTGGAGGTCCATGGTACTTTTAATATTCTTGTCCAACACTGTTACTTAAATGCATCAATTCTTCTACAGTCTTCTTTATTCTTTCTCCATTTATCATGGTGTTATGTGTTGGTCCAGTTGTGAGGATTTTTGTTTTCTTTACATTGAGGTGCAATCCATACTGAAGGCTGTGGTCTTTCATCTTCATTAATAAGTATTTTAAGTCCTCTTTGCTATCATTGTTGTTGTTGTTAAGTACCGTGGAGTCGGTTCCGACTCATAGTGACCCTGCACAGGGTTTCTGAGGCTGTAAATCTTTACAAGAGCACAACACCTCATCTTTCTCCTGCGGAATCGCTGGTAGTTTTGAACTGCCGGCCTTCAGGCTAACAGCCCGATTTGTAACCACGCTAATCATTAACCCCTGGAGCACGTATACACGTAAGATGAATTTCATTGTTAACAACAATGGTTATAAATGCATATTTATGCTAATTTGTTTTCTTTAGCTAACTTCTGGTCCAGCTGATTTCTTCCTGACATGTCAGGCATGAGCTTGCACTAGACCTAATTCAAGTGTCAGTTCTGCCACTTACTGTTATTGTTGTTAAGTGACATCAAGTCAGTTCCAACTTGTAGTGACCTTGTATAGAGTTTCTGAGGAGCAGCTGGTGGGTTTGAACCACCGACCTTGTAGTTCAAACCAACTTTGTGGTCAAGTGCTTATCCTAGTGTATTAAATCCACAGTTACTTTGGAGGAATTTCTTTGTTCCATTTTGTAAGGAATCACATAGGTAAAAGGAGACACAGGGTATTCCATAAACTTCCTGTCTTCGTTCTCTAGTGCCGCTGTAACAGGAACACAAGTGGTGGTTTGAGCTGACAGAAATTTCATTGCTCACAGTTTAGGAAGCTGGAAGTCCAAGTATGGGCTCTAGGGAAAGGCTCTGTTTCTAGAGGAAGGTCCTTGTCGCTTTTTAGTTTCTGTTCCTCAAATTCCTTAAGGATCTTCATGTGACTTCATATCTGTCGTCCATCCCGTTTGTGCTTGCTTGCTTGATATGCTTTTGGTTTTGTTTTTTTTTAACTTTTTATTGTGCAGGTTTACAGAGCAGATCACCAGTTGTACAATCAATAAACCACACACTTCGGTTCATCTCCATTGCAGTCCCCTCGGTGTAATATTACTTACACAACTTTCCTGTGTTTCCCATTTCCCTTCTTCCTCTTTCCCCTAGTCTTCTGAATTTTGTTCTTAGGAAAATGCTGCCCCTTTGATCTTGACTGGTTGACCATTCTGTGGTGTACGTACCTCACTAGTATTGTTTCCCCCCTGATTTACCTGTTTATTGCTTGGCTGAAAATTTAGCCCCAGGAATGAGTTCAGTTCCAGATCTGAAGGGTGATCAAGGATCATAGTCCCAGAGTTCTATCTGACCAGTATGACTGGTCTTCTTTATGATTTTGAGTTTTGTGCCACATATTCTTTCACTCTATTCAGGACTCTCTAATGAGTAGTTGGTAGTGGTAGCTAGGCACCACCTAGTTCCGCTCTTAAGGTAGTGGAGACTGATGTTCATGTGGTCCACTAGTCCACTGGACTAATTGTTTTCAAACATCATCAATTGTCATCACTTTTCTTTTCTCCAGCCAGGGAGAGACCAACAGTAGTACCTTAGTAGCTATCATAAGCTTTTAAGATCCCAGTCACTACTCACCAAATTAATCTGCTTTCATATCTCAAAAGACATTGACTTAAAGCACACCATACACTGTTGGTGTTAGGTGTCATCCATCAGCTCCGACTCAAGGTGACTTCATGTACAATAGAATGAAAAGCATTACTTGGTCTGCATAAATATTATGTTTAAACCCATTCTTGCTGCCACTGTGCTGATCCATCTCTTTGATGATCTTCCACTTTTCCACTTTACCAAGCATGATGTCCTTTTCTAGGGACTGGTCCCTCCTGATAACGTGTCCAGCATATGTGAGATGAAGTCTCGCCATCCTTGAGAGAATTCTGGCTGCACATCTTCCAAGATAGATTTGTTTGTTCTTCTGGCAGTATATGGTACTTTCAAATTCTTCACTAACACCAAAATTAAAATACATCAGTCCTCCTCCTGTCTTCCTTTTTTATTGTCCAGCTTTCACATTGAGTCAG